CCACAGTAACAATCAGGTGTCGCCACCTCAAAAACTAATTTAACACGCGATCGTTCATGTCAGTTCATTTCCTTTAATGTTTTCTGTCTTTTATTTGCGCCTGATGCGTTTCGCTGCATGCTGTGGAGCGGGGCGCTGCGCGCATCACCTTGTCCTCCGATGCACTGATCACTGATACGGCCGCCAAACAGCGAGCGCTCCGCTGTTTTTGCGGTCGGTAGATCTTTTAGAACTGCAGTTCAAAGGTAACTCATGAGGTGAATATATATGAACCCAGGTAGCAGTTTTTATTTAGGATTGAGAGGAGATGCAGGAAGATAATAAACAGACAGGACAGAAAAATAGTCAAATAAAAACAAGTTAGTTTTTGTACCTGCTGTTGCAACAAACAGACACCATTGAAGGTCATCAGAAGTGAGGAACAGAAAATGAAATAATTATTTTAATGTTTAGAGCAGCAGGAACTCCAAGAGGCTGCAGGCGCATCAGTGAGTTTGCAGCCGCTGCGCAGGGGGAGGGGGGAGAGGGCTGAAGCAGGGGGAGGGGGGAGATGGCTGAAGCAGAAACTACCGTTGTTAAAAGAAATGTGTTTAACTTTGAAAATGTGGGCGCAATTTTAATTGTCAAAAACTCCAGCGAACCATTAGTTCATTTTGCTCAAATAGAAATAGAGGCCTGCCTCTAATACTGGCCCTCCTTCCAATAAAGGCCTGGAGCTTGATGAGCTTGAGTCAAATACAGGCCCGGGCCTGTATTAGAGGATTTACGGTATATATATTTTGTTTTTGTTGTTTTTAGTACTTTTGTGTAAAAAGAAGCAGGTCGTATTTAGTATTCAGAAAAGTTACACGCAAACTGCCAATGACCTGCCAATGACTTACAGTATTATTCTGTTTTTTTTTAATAAAAGTTTTAAATGTGCTACGTTATTGAACTCATCATAGAGTTCCAATGTTCCTTGAATGCACCACAAGTGGTGAGAAGCCATGTGTGAGTGCGACGCTGCCTACCAGTGCCAGCCGAGCTCAGCTGCCGAAATGCGGCAGGATGGCGAAAGGAGCGGTCGTCCTTTATGTAGCTCCGGTGGCTATCTCAAATAATGGACTTGTGAGAACCCACAAAAGGTTTAATTGGTCAACGGGGGTAGCGTGATCATGCTGCAAGCACATGCGCAGATCATTTTCTTTCTGATCCTCTGGAAGGAAGGACGGTCGCTTCAGATGCCTCGCTAATCTGCAGGTAAAGTCTGCTACAAAATTGTAGTCAAAGTAGCTGAGGGGTGTCAGAAATGTCACCAGAATTGTTGCTAGGCGCTTTTTTGAAAACATGTCGTTAAGGGGGTCTGAAAAGGCGTTAGAAATGTGACAAATTCGCTAAGTTGGCAACACTGATTGAAACACAGCCTACAGCCTTTCTGTTGCCTCCACCGCTCGGCAGAGAGCTTCTCATCAATATAGATGTGCATGATTTGTTTTTGTTACAAAACACACAATTAACTTAGAATATGTGATTATTGTTAATTGTATTTATTTATTTTTTTTTATAAAAATTAAAAACACTGGGGAAAACTGGGAGGGCGGCGCCCTATCGCCCTCTACTGGCCAGCCGCCACTGGTGAATTGGGAGTCCAGCACTCTCTTAAAGGTCAAGCCTCTCTGGATCACCTAGAGGAAAACTTCATACAAAGAACTACTTAAGCATATGGGTTTAAAATACTTAATAGCTTATCATGAACTGTAGTAAAAGGTCTAAAATTAGGATAAAGAGTAATACAAAATGCATACTTTATAAAAAACAATATAAAATGAACCACTTGAGTCTATTGCCTTATTGGATAGGATATGAACCTTTTAATAATCAATTTTATTAACTAATTTCCATTTTATTAAACTGCACTAGTTCCCATGAGAACAGGGCACCTGGTCGCGGCTCTTTGTGGACAAATTAGTTATTTATTCGCTCCCCACCACCACTATTTTACAAATATGCAAAAAATAAAAAATAAATGAGCGAGTTTATCTGATGGCATACAGACTTCTGGAGACTAACTTCAAGCACCATCAACCAACTCTCCAAGCTGCAGTATGTCTGCGGTCAGGTCTCTCTCCGAGTCCGCTCCACAAGCAGTCAGCCCACACAGCAGCCAGGCGCCAAAGCGGTGTAGCGTTATGAATATGCCATTTCTGCCCTTAACAGCTGCCCTTTGACACAGTGACAGTGTGCATAAATTGCCAAGGTCGTGCGCTTGCTTCTGATGTTTACATTACAGCAAAGAAGACAGAAGAAGGACGAAGAACGCTTTTTATTGGTTAATCAAAGAACTTTATTTTTAATAAAGCTAATCCAAACAACTGTTGGTCAATAATAATCAGGTGAACGATCTGTGAAATCACAATGTTATGGTTTATGTGTTTAATGAATAACAGGACTGTGCACTAGACATCCTGATCCACATAAGGTAAACACATGATACATTGTTCACTCATCCAATCAGAACTTCCTTTCTGATGCGGGGCAGAGTTCTGTGGTGTTTAGTTAATCTGTCTTCAGTTCCAACTAAGCTCTTCAACGTAGTTCAACTTGGTTCAACGCTGTTCCAACCAAGTACTCGACCAGCTCTCAAATCCATCATCGCTAAGTAAAGTACAGACTGGCCAGCTGTATTTTATACTTTAAGCTGACAACTGTCAACCTGGAAAATTCTGTCTTATCAACAAGACGACGGTTCGTTCAGAATAAAAGCTGAACTCTCTACGTGACGCGGACATCTGCCGTTGCTACCGGGAGTCGATCCGTAGACTGGTTTGTCGTGCTGCAGACTCTGTGCCGTCAGTTCCAGCACCAAAGGAGGGTCCGAGGACCTGGCATTCCCGATCTAACACGGGAGTCTCCGAAACGGTACGTGGACCGGCACAGATGGCGTTTCATGTCTTACTTCTGAAATACCTCGTGGTCAGCTAGACAAAACAACATCTTACACTCAGACTCGCCTCACCAGATGGAGATTCTGAACTGACACACACACACACACACACACAAACACTTCAAAATCACATTCATCTGCACCCATCATTAGAGAATTAGTCCTGGAGATTGTTTCGAATAATTATAAAATAAATTTTCTTAAATGTCCCATCTATCTCTTTTCTTGTCTCTAAGTCAATACAAAGTGTTTGAATAAAATTTCCTGTGGTGAAACCAACCTCTTCTGATTATAAGGGCCCGGCCCAAAGTTTAATCTCTGGACCTTAATAAAAGTGTAAGAATATAAAAACTATATTCCGCTACAGCGGTCAGAGATGCGCTGGGCTGACCGCTGGGGAGAACTGGGTGGAAGAATGGAACACAGAAGTGTCCCTCCGAGAGCTCCGTCATATTTCAACCCATTTTTATGTTAAATGCACTGGGTTTTACCATGGTTTTACCCATCGACATTTACCCTATTAATTATTTTACCGTATATTACATCTAAATTTCATGGTTAAACTGTACATGTAAAAATGGTAGTTCTTTGATAAGCTCAGCTAGTGCAAGAGTGGCAGTGACCTAAAATACATAAATATAATTTTACTTACCGGAAAAAATGAAGTGGAGACTCCTTGGACGCTCTATTAGTGCAATTAATACCACAGCAAGTCATTTTGTCCAACAATTACACAAATAATATCCAAAAAGATTGCACAAACGCTACAACTACTGGTCTGATTTCAGAGACTAAAAATCGCGGAAAAGTTTTCAGGCGAAACCGAGGCTCTACAGAGGCCTTTCCATGGAGCTAGCTCTGTGGTCACGTGGGTCTGATGCTCATTAATTATACAGAATTTTAGGCATTTAATACATTTAAACAGAAGAGTGAGAAAAAAATTCACCCCCCTCAGAGTTGTCATGAGTGTAAACTAGATCATTTAAACCAAAAACATGTTTTGGTACCAGGCTGTAAACATGTTTATTTCCGCTGTGAAATTGGTATGTTTAACATAGGAGTCAATGAGGATTTGCTCGCTTCTGACACCAGCCCCCAGCGGATGAGGGTGGAACTGCAATGTAATTCACTTCCGGGTTTGCTTCAGTTTTTGACCGCATTGTGGGGGCTTGGGAGAAACAAAAAACACAACCTGCACCAAACCTAGGTACATCTGAGAAGGTAGTAGAAGGTAGAAGTTTACAACACTGTTGCATTAAGGATTGGCTACATATATATGAACTGATCAAAAAGATGTGATAATTCCATGTAAATATGAAATATCAGTCTGATTGGCCTTTGAATGTTTAATCAGAAGACTTTAGTTTCTTGACTTATTCGGGGAACATACAGAAACAAACACAATTATTGTGCTGCAAGTCTTTTTATCTCTTAAAAATGTTTAAAAATATGTTTTTGTCTAACATGTCTGGCTGCCAGTCAAATTCAATTTAATATTCTGGTTCTGGTTTTTAGGGCTTTACATGGACAAGCTCCATCATACATTTGTGATCTTCGCAGTCCCTACATCCCCAGCAGGTCCCTGGAACTCTCTCCCCCTGAGCCTGAGATCATTGGACTCAGTGGTCTCCTTTAAAAAGCAGCGGAATCTCACCTGTTCAAGCTGGCTTTGATGTGACCATCATCACCCTCCTTATTCTGCTCTTTCTACCCATTTTGCCTTTCCCAGGATCCACTGATTTCTCTCTTTCCTCTTCGTTTTCGCATTACCTTTCCTTACATTTTTAATCACAATTTTTAGAATTTTTTCAAAATCTTTTTTATATTTAAAATGTTTTGTTCTTGTGAAGCGCCTCTGATTTTTATCTTGAGAGGAGCTATATAAAAATTGTTTCCTTTTCTTTCTAATTAATATAGGCCATTTTAGTGGATGTTATTGTTCCTTTATGCCCAGATCATATCTGTAGAACTCATAACTTCACAGGAAATTTTTGGCCAAGCTGTGTGATCGGTATCAGTAACCAACACTCCTGGAATTTGTGATTGGAAGCATAAAACTTGATCAGAGCATCCTAGATATGGCTTTTCACATGTATGTATATTTTATTAATATAGCACTCATTACAGACAGAAAATCACATGGTGTGTCACATAGATCAAAACAAATCATTAAGTCATAAAATCATAGTGATCTTAAAACAGAAATAAAAATCTAAGTCACATATTTATAAAATACCATTATCAAATGAAAGATGATTACAAATTTGAGTTAAAAATAAGAAAATACTATATTTAGATATAGCAGCTTTAAATGAAAGGGTCTTCAGCTGTTTTTTTTAAAGTGTCCAGACTGTCAAGACTAGTAAGGCTAAAAGGAGGACCACTCCAATGTCAGGGTGCAACAGTCTGGAAGGAGCCATCACCTGGACTTCTATAATTGGTCTTTGGAACTTCTAGAAGGTTCTAGTTTGTGGACCTGAGGGCTCGGGTTGGAGTATGAGGCTTTAGCAATTCAATGATATAATGTGAGTTCTCATGTGTGTAGTCAAGGAACTACTGTCACTAAAACATTTACCACAAGTTTTACATGAATATGGCTTCTCACCTGTGTGAGTTCTCATGTGTGTAGTCAAAGCAGTACTCTGTGAGAAAAATTTACTACAACATTTACATTGAAATGGCTTCTCACCTGTGTGAGTTCTCATGTGTGTAGTCAAGTGACCACTGGCACTAAAACATTTACCACAAGTTTTACATGAATATGGCTTCTCACCTGTGTGAGTTCTCATGTGAGTAGTCAAAGCAGTACTCTGTGAGAAAAATTTACTACAACATTTACATTGAAATGGCTTCTCACCTGTGTGAGTTCTCATGTGTGTAGTCAAGGAACCACTGTCACTAAGAAATTTACCACAAGTTCTACATGGATATGGCTTCTCACCTGTGTGAGTTCTCATGTGTCTAGTCAAGGAACCACTGACACTAAAACATTTACCACAAGTTTTACATGGATATGGCTTCGCACCTGTGTGAGTTCTCATGTGTGTATTCAAGGAACCACTGTCACTAAAACATTTACCACAAGTTTTACATGGATATGGCTTCTCACCTGTGTGAGTTCTCATGTGTATAGTCAAGGGACCACTGTCACTAAAACATTTACCACAAGTTTTACATGGATATGGCTTCTCACCTGTGTGAGATCTCATGTGTATAGTCAAGTGACCACTGACACTAAAACATTTACCACAAGTTTTACATGGATATGGCTTCTCACCTGTGTGAGTTCTCATGTGTTTAGTCAAGTGACCACTGTCACTAAAACATTTACCACAAGTTTTACATGGATATGGCTTCTCACCTGTGTGAGTTCTCATGTGTTTAGTCAAGTGACCACTGTCACTAAAACATTTACCACAAGTTTTACATGGATATGGCTTCTCACCTGTGTGAGTTCTCATGTGTTTAGTCAAGTGACCACTGTCACTAAAACATTTACCACAAGTTTTACATGGATATGGCTTCTCACCTGTGTGAGTTCTCATGTGTTTAGTCAAGCGACCACTGTCACTAAAACATTTACCACAAGTTTTACATGGATATGGCTTCTCACCTGTGTGAGTTCTCATGTGTTTAGTCAAGTGACCACTGTCACTAAAACATTTACCACAAGTTTTACATGGATATGGCTTCTCACCTGTGTGAGTTCTCACGTGTTTAGTCAAGTGACCACTGCCACTAAAACATTTACCAGAGGTTTTACTTGGATATGGCTTCTCACCTGTGTGAGTTCTCATGTGTTTAGTCAAGGAACTACTGACACCAAAACATTTACCACAAGTTTTACATGGATATGGCTTCTCACCTGTGTGAGTTCTCATGTGTGTAGTCAAGGTTCTACTGTCACTAAAACATTTACCACAAGTTTTACATGGATATGGCTTCTCACCTGTGTGAGTTCTCATGTGTGTAGTCAAGGTACTACTGACACTAAAACATTTACCACAAGTTTTACATGGATATGGCTTCTCACCTGTGTGAGCCCTCTTGTGCCTTTTTTGTTTTTTATCATCTACACTGTCTCTGTGATCTTTGGATTGGCATATTTTATTATGCGTCAGTCCATCGCTGTTTGATTCTGAGTTTTCTTTCCTGCATCCACCCTGATCTTGGTTCTCAGCTTCTGTAGTACTCTGACACAAGGGTTGGTTCTTGTTTGGTTCTGGTTCATGACAGTCTGTTTCTTCAGAAGGAGAGGGCTCCATGAAGGTAACAACTTCCTGCTTCAGAAGAAACTGCCCTTCATGCTGATGGATAAGGAGTTCTTGTTGTTCCTCTTTCATCAGTGGAGGTTCTGGTTCCTTCTGGTCCAAATTGGAGGTCCATTTCTGTTTAGAGAGCTGCTGGTCAGTCAGAGCCATCTTGTTATCCCAGACATGATGCTGTGGAAGTTCTGGACAGGATAAAAGACAAAACAAAATGTAGAATAATGTGAATAAAAAAAATCTCGTGTTTGGACAAAGCTTCTCATTCAACATGTTTTTATTTTCATGACCATTTACATTGGGCGATTCTAACTGAAGGCATTAAAATTATGAATGAATACATGTGGAGTTATGTACTTAACCAAAACGGTGAAATAACTGAAAACATGTTTTATATTCTATTTTCTTCAAAATAGTCACCCTTTGCTCTGATTACTGCTTTGCAAACTCTTGGCATTCTCTTGATGATCTTTAAGAGGGAGTCACCTGAAATGGTTTTCCAACTGTCTTGAAGAAGTTCCCAGAGGTGTTTAGCACTTGTTGGTCATGAAAATAAAGAAAACATATTGAATGAGAAGGTATTGTTGAGGGTCTGCCCTCATGAGGAAATTACTGTGCAGTGATTTTCTCCAAAGACTGTGTTAAATTGCTCTTAAAAAGCAAATATTCCAACATCAGCGCCAGAGACACTTCCTTTCCCATGATGCTCGGCACACGGAAGCAATGTGATAATGTCACCGCCAAGGCGGAGCACGAACAACACAACAACCAGCTCAAAGTTATAAATTTCAGCTAAAAACGAAACTTAGCCTTCTTTTGTACCGGTTTGGCTGGCTGTGAAGGACACGCTCGTTGCACGCTCCGATCAACGTGAGCGGATCAAACACTGAACCGCTGAAAAGCTGGGTTTGGAAACCCAGCAAATCTGCTCTCTTTTGTTCAACTCCAGCTGATGTGCGAGGACACAGAACCGCTGGAAAGCAACTCCATAAGCCATCAAACCACACGGAGACGCTGTAAATTATCAAACTCAGCACAAAAGAAACTTTGCTCTCTTTGTGTCCAGCCAGTTGGAGAAAACTGTGGAGGAGAAGCGTAAAATCACATCTGATCAGCGAACACAAGGGGCGCCTTGCTTTGATTCAGAACAGCTGTTTGCTCCTGCAAGTTTTATCTCATTTAAACTTTTATTTTTTCTCGTCTCTTCTAGAACAAAATAAACGGTCGCAGCGTGAGACCGTTTCAAATTATCAGACGTGTTTTCCTCTTTTCCGTAACCAAACCACGCACGTCGGGTCATTGTGTTAATTGATCATAGTTAATTATCTTTAGTTGTCAGCTGTGGCCAAGCTGTTTAACTTAAAGGATATTAATTTATGATTAACCTTTGGTGACGCTTCATGATGGTTTGAACTTTTGAAGTGTTTAAGTTTTACTGTGAGAGAGAGAGAAAGGAGACAGCTCCCAGACACACACACACACACACCTCCCCTATCGGTTATCAGTGTGGGAGAGAGTTAGCCTTGAATCACAGAGAGAAAGGTTCTGCTCAGAAAATCACACACACACACACGCACGCGCACCTGCTCTTGGGAGAACAAGCATTCATTCATACACCCTCCATTTCACACACACACATCTCCAATTATATCAAATTGTTTTGCATTATTAATCTCCTTGTTAATTAAATGTTATAAAATTCAGATTTTGTCTCCAGTAAACTTCTTTGTGTCGGCGTGAAAATCTCTGCTCCTGATTCCACGAATTTCAGGTAGACTGGTAAGAGTTTGGATTCAATTTTTCCCCGGTTAAAGGGGATGGTGCCCCGGAGATACCTAAAGAGTATCTTAATTAATTAATAACTCGGTAAATATTCCCATATTTACAGAATTTATTGAAGAATCCAAAAGTAAGTAAAAGCTTACTAATTATTCACTTCCCAATAACCCCAACAGTATATATACCACAAGTGTATATATATATATATATATATATATATATATATATATATATATATATATATATATATTGTAGCGTCACGAAATGTCCTGTTTTTGACCTAAAAGGTCATGCTCTGCTGCGTCTGCTCGAGCGGAGATGTGATGTCTCCGTCGGGAGGCCTAATCTACATGAGATATTGGCCCAAGGCCTTTCATGCCCTCTGCTCATCTAAACTGCTTCACCTCCTTACAGTTCAAGACAAGACGGAGAACTCTTTTGATAAATATATAATCAAACAATGTTTGTTATTGCCAATTATAATGTGAATCAGATGTTCAATCATTTTGTGAAATGACAATGTATTACTTGATAATATAATCCTGTGATCAGTAGTAATTATAATTTTGGACAGCTGCACTAGACACGTTGACACAGAGTTATGTTAAGTCACATTACACATTTCCTTTTGTCTGATACAATCAGAACCTACGTTTCTGATGTAAGGGTTGGTTTTCTGTGGTGTCTGTATAAGCCCTCTTTTGCATGTCAAATTCTGATTCGCCAGTAAACCAAAATATGACAATTATAAAAACTATTCCCACGTCACCTTTACTTCAGTTCAAAGCGTTCTAGAGAAGTTTCTGACAGGCCATCCGGAACCTTTACAACCATAAGAACCTTGACAAGCTGGATAAAATCTGTTGCACGTTACACCTGACCACAGTGGTTCCTTCACAATAAAAGCTGAACCTCACGACCCCTTCAGGGTCTCGCTGACGTCAATAATAACCTGTCGTGACCTGGAAGCATTCCAAGACTAGTCTGGTCGACAATGCTGCTGTCTCTACCGGCTTCGGTACCAAGGAAGGTCCACGGACCTCGACATTCTGGATCTGAACGGAGGCTTCCCCTGTGGGTACGTAGACCAACAGATGGCGTTTAACATGTTTTATAAATCACCAACCGTAGTTTAGAGCAAAACATTCGCTGCCACTCAGAACTAATTGCTTCTCCGGATACGAGAGTTCTGATAACAACAACACATACACTATTCATCTCACGTCTCATTCAACTCAATTCTATTCAATTCAATTCAAAAATACTTTATTAATCCCAGAGGGAAATTAATTAACTCCACCTAGATTAATTGATTAATTCCACCTAGTTTCATCAGTACACAGAGTGTTTACAGTTAGACCTTGTTTAAATTGTGTAGAAATAAACTTCTTAACTATTATAAACCTGACTCTCTTTTCTCTGAGTTAATAGAAAGTGTCCAGTAATCACTGCAATAAAAAGTTCTGATCTTCTGGTTAAAATATTCAAAGATCGCAGTTCTCCGTCCCTCCCGTCTGCTCCGGCAGGCCTGCGAACACCAGATTATCCCTCATGCTGCGGGCCTGAAGGTCCAAAACCGTCTCCTTTTGAATCTTGTTGTCCTGGGCGATCCGCGTCATTCCCTCTTCCAGGGAAGAAACGGACTCCCACAGAGACGCGCTCTCAGCAGCGAGCCGCTCGACCTGCTCCTGACTGAATTCCAGAGATGTTCGGAGGTTCTGAAACTCCTGGTGAAGAACCTCGAGCAGATGAAGTCGCCCCTCAAACCCCAGAAGCCGTTTATCAATAGAATCTAATAATTCCAATACGTCCTTCCGGGGAGATGAGGCCTCAGGCGAGTCCTGAGGACGGCTCCTCTTGATCCCAGGTGTTTCAGCCTCAGCTGCTGATTTCTTCGGACCCATAACGAAAACTTCAAAAAACTTCGTCAGTATAATTTAACAAACTTTCTAAATTTCCTTCACTTATCTCCAGATTGAGTGAGTTATACTTACCAGATTATTTTTCCGTTGTCAGTAGTTAAATTAGGCAAAAATGCATCTAAATTGTTTGTGGATGTTTGCTAACGAGCTGTCAACTTCAAACGCTGCTGTGTCCGGTGATCGGCCGTCAGCGCATGCTCAGCTATCAGCCAACTTCCTCCAAGCTGTATGCCTATGGTTTACACTGAACATGCTGTTCAGGCTTTCAGCCGCTCTGCTCCTCATGTCTGGAACTCACTCCCCCCTGACATCAGGAACATCGACAGTTTTACCCTTTTAAAAACCAAACTCAAAACACACAGTATGTTTAAATCTGCCTATGACCTCTGATTTTATTAAACTGTTTCTCTCTTTGTTTTTTCTTCGTTGCCTTTTATTGTTGTTTTAATGTATTTTCTTAAGTATTTTCTGTCAAGTGACCTTGGGTGTTCTGAAAGGCGCTTTTAAATAAAATGTATTATTATTATTATTACTGCACCTTGACACGACTAAATACATATTATGCAAAATTTTGTGAACATCAATTTATTTGCATTTATTTGTTATAAATGCCAATATATAATTCTTGCTGTCAGTATTTGCAAGATATTGGTATTTGGGTCTGTACTGGTTAGACTTAAATGAGTTAAACCAAGGTCTATAGCCTTTGGGTCATAAACTATGAGCTATAAGCATACTGGTCTTTTTATACTGGGAATCAGGAGTTATTTTAGTGATCATCTTGTTTCTTATTTATTTTTGTCCTGATTGTGCCCCGAGCAATTTTATGACAGAATAAAAACAAATAAAATCAACATAAATTGAAAAATCGTCTGAAATAATCGAGATCTCAATTTCACTCACAATAATTGTGATTATTATTTTTGCCATAATCGAGCAGCCCTAGTGGCATGCATGGTTGTTGGTGCCAGACGGGCCGGTCTGAGTATTTCACAATCTGCTTAGTTACTAGGATTTCCACGTTTACAAAGGGTTTACAAAGAATGGTGCGAAAAGGGAAAACATCCAGTATGCGGCAGTCCTGTGGGCGAAAATGCCTTGTTGATGCTAGAGGTCAGGGGAGAATGGGCTGACTGATTCAAACTGATAGAAGAACAAATTTGAAATAACCACTAGTTACAACCGAGGAATGCAGCAAAGCATTTGTGAAGTCGCAACACGCACAACCGTGAGGCGGGTGGGCTAGAACAGAGGAAGACCCCACCGGGTACCACTCATCTCCACAGCAAATAGGAAAAAGACGCTACAATTTGCACAAGCTAACCAAAATTGGACAGTTGAAGACTGGTGCGCCGCCACGGCAAAATAAAAGCTACCACACCTTCTGAAGGATAAAAAATGTTTAAACAACGTACCTTAAAGGGACTTTACGGAGTTTTGAATTTTTATGCTCGCGATTGCCCCCTCAGGCCAAAAGCGTAACGGCA